TTTACTGTTTTTTTTTCCTGCCCCCTGGGTCAGATTGTTATTCTTTCTGAATTCCAAATAATTCAATGTAATCTGACAAAAAATAACAGAATAATAGAAGTTGATTGACTGATGTTAGAATCATGTGTCCAATAGAAATGGTTTAGGCCCGTGATGGCGAACCTATGGCACGCGTGCCACAGGTGGCACGCGAAGCCATATTGTTGGGCACGCGAGTGTTGGCCAACCTCAGCTCCAGCATGCATCTGCACGCTGGCCAGCTGATATTTGGGCCTTCTGGGCCCACTGGAAGTTGGCAAACGGGCTGTTTCGGGACTCTGGAAGGCCTCCGGTGGGGTGGGGAAGGCTGTTTTCATCCTCACCAGGCTCCTAGAAAGCCTCTGGAGCCTGGGGAGGGTAAAAACCAGGCCTACCGTGCCCACCATGCTGTCACATGCCAAAAGTGGGGGGGGGAGCATGGGATCGCGCGTGCATGCATGGGGGGACAGGGCACCTAGAATTATGGGTGTGGGCATGCATATACATGACTACCCCGCACTCCCCCAGCTTTTGGCACGCGATGGCAAAAAGGTTAGCCATCACTGGTTTAGGCTGAACTTGCATGGTGGTTACAAGGTGATAAGGTGGAGATGTGAGACCAAATGGGCATCACAATGTTATGGAGCAAATACATTGACTTACATGCTTGCATCAGGTAATAGAATGTAAGCACATCAGGATAAGCCCCGACCTGCGTACTTTTCGCCGTGCCCTAAAGACCTTCCTGTTTCAGCAAGCCAGACTGGCCTGATATGAATTTTAAATGGGCGTATGTGTGTTTTAATTTGAGGGCCAAATTGTATATATTTGTTTTAATTGGTTTTAAATTTTATAAATTCATGTGTTTTAATGTGGCTGTACACCGCCCTGAGTCCCCTGGGAGAAGGGCGGTATAGAAATCCAATAAACTCTAAACTCTAAGACCTCCCTTGCATTGTCACCATGTATACCAGGAGGCAGGGGTGAAATCTAGCAGGTTCTGATAGGTTCTGGGGAACCGGTAGCAGAAATTTTGAGTAATTCGGAGAACCGATAAATACTACCTCTGGCTGGCCCCAGAGTGTGGTGGGAATGGAGATTTTGCAGTATCCTTCCCCCACCAGGCCAACAAGCCATGCCCACCAAGCCACACCACACCCACCAAGCCACGGCCTCAGAACCGGTAGTAAAAAAAAATTGGGTTTCATCACTGCCAAGAGGCCATCTCACCTTGTAACTCCTTATTTTTATGTTGTTCTTTGTTACTTTCTTGACAACTTCACATCTCTGTCTACTGTGCCCTCCATAGCTGATGCACCACAGAATGGCAGAGAGGCAGCAGAAGAATACACAATGGAGAAAAGGTAGCAATTTTGCTTGATTCTTTGAGCAGATCCTTTCTTTCCTTCTTTGGCCTTTAATATCTCTTTTTGGAAATTGGCGTTCTAAAGGATTGGGTAGAAGAGGCTCTGGGTCTAGTTCAAGTTTGATCCTTAAGGTTGACTCAGTCTTCCATCCTTTCGAGATCAAGTAAAATGAGGACCTAGATTGTTGGGGGCAATATGCTGACATTGTAAAGTGCCCAGAGAGTGCTGTAAAGCACTATGGGAAAGTATATAAATCTAAATAATGTTGCTAGGGGATGCAGTGGCTCAGTGGCTAAGACACTGAGCTTGTCGATCAGAAGGTCGGAAGTTCAGTGGTTCGAATCCCTAGCTCCGAGTAATGGGGTGAGCTCCCTTTACTTGTCCCAGCTTCTGCCAACCTAGCAGTTTGAAAGCATGTAAAAAATGGAAGTAGAAAAATAGGGACCACGTTGGTGGGAAGATTACAGCGTTCCATGCGCCTTCAGCATTGAGTCATGCCGTCCACATGACCATGGAGATGTCTTCAGACAGCGCTCGCTCTTCGGCTTTGAAATGGAGATGAGCACCGCCCCCTAGAGTCAGGAAAGACTAGTACATATGTGCGAGGGGAATCTTTACCCTTTGCCTTATTGATGTCTGGTCTTGCTGTGGAATCGTACAATGCATACCGGTCTCTCTAGCTGGTAAGGTTTTGATTAAGAATCAGTAAAGAAATAGCAAACGACGTGTTCAAATGATAGGAGAATCAGTTCTGGTTTATCAGCTCTTCTTTCTCCTTGCAGGTATCGAACAGCAAGTATTTGCCCAACCCCGAGAAGGAATTCATGCAGACACTCGTGGAAGTTCTGTCCGTCAACTCTTGTGTGATGATGCAGACTGTAAGGTGTGTGAGCAAGCTGCTCAGGAAGCCCTGGAGTTTATCTACAGCTGGGGGACAAAGCAAGAGAGACTGAAAGACTCAAGGAGCCAGGAGCCTCCAGTGTCTAGCACAAAATATCCTGCCCCACCTTGTGGCTTTCTCGTTAGAGGCCCCGAGTCCTTTCTGCGGAGTGCCAGTGAACCTGCACCTGACCGGAAGACCCCTGCTGTATCAAGCTCACCATTGTTGCCAAAGGATGATGAAGGTAGAGCAACATCCACTCCACAGCATGTTCCTTATGCCTGGAAGGAAGATAGCAACCTTTCGGTCGATATTCAGGATAATGAGAAGGAAGATTCCTTCAGGTCGATTTCATTCACGCATAGCACTTCTAGCAGTTACTCCAATTCCTCTTTCAGCTTCTCAGATATCTCATCCAGCAGCTTGAAGGTGCACGTCTCAACGAAGCACGCAAAGAAGTATCATTCCAAAGTACATCCCGAAAGTTACAGAGATCCAGCCCAGATTTCATCAGGAAAGGCTCTCACAGGGAGACAACTCAAGAAGAGGTCAGGTAAAAAGACCCCATCCATGCCAGGGATGGCTGAGACCAGCAAGACCGACACAGCAGGATTCAGAGGCACGTCCATTTCTTTTATAGATAAAACCATGCTGGCAAGCTTAGAATCCCACATGGTGACAAAAAGAATGCAACATCTCATAGGATTGCCTTTAGCTCTCTTGAGGTCCCTCAAAAAGTTCATACCTTCTGCTCCATACTCTCCTACTCAGAAGCACAAGAGGAAAGTTAGCGTGGCCCCAAGGCCTCAGATCCTTTCCTTTATAGCCACGGGTATCAGGAAAGAGCTAGAGAGGCACTTAAAGAAAATGGTTCAGCAAAAACGTTGGCAGCTACCCCAGAGGGTACAAGATGCCCTCAAGCGTCTTAAACCTTACTCTCCATCATCAAGGCCAGAGAAGTTTTCTTCAGCAGGCTGGCGACATAAGCACAAGGACATCGGTCCAATTAAAAGTGCAAGGAGGATGGGAAAAACCCCCGCAAAGCAATCAGTCAACGTGGAGGTCTTGGACTCCAAAATTACACCAGCTCTCCAAGGAAAACTACAAGTGCACATTACAAAGAAGTCTCTGGAGATGAAGTTGGAGACTTTTCATTCAATCGTGCGGCTTTCTCAGAAAATAAGTACGGCAAGGGCAAGAAATTGGGTTCTGCCTAAACTTATTCCACTTGGTCAAATTCATCATCAACGGAGGAACAAGCTGGGGTTAAGCCTCCGGAAGAAAGCAGATACGGTGGAGCTGAATGTTAAGAGTAAATGCATCTACTTCCTGTGGGGGCTTCCAACACTTTACATGAAATCCCTGAGCAAGTTTGTCCCTTGTCCTCCTTCTCAACCAATTTCCTTCACTGTAGTACATTCCTCGATCGAATTTGGTCTTACAATGCCTGCTTTGATATCCACTGATGGAAAGAACTTGGAGACCCATGTTCTGAAAAAGAGACTTCAGCACCAGTGGGGGTTGCCTCGCCTGGTGTTGGGTTCCCTGAGAAAGTTTCTTCTGCCAGCTCCACCATCACAGATTCATTTTAGGACCAAATCCTACGATCCGTATGAAGTTCAAATATTCATTAGCTTTACCCAACTCCTTTTCACCACCTCTGAGGTAAAGCAGAAGCTAGAGACTCACCTCAGGAGCAAAATCATAGAGAGGCAGTGGGGATTACCCAAACGAATATTTGAATCCCTGCGGATGTTTGTTCCACCTGCTTCCGCCCTGACCAGGAGGCCCAAAGTAGATGGAAGGTCCTTTGCAAGGGAATTTAAGATGAGGATACCTTCCACAGCAATGGTCAGTTACCACAGGAAACCAGTTCTCTCTCTAGAAAAGCATCAATCAGTTCAACGTTCAAAGGGCCAAGTATTGCAGAGAAAATTGGCCAAGCAAGTCCTTGAGAAACATCTGAGTCCAATTGTTCCCACAGCTCGTCAGCCTTGGAGAGGGACTAACCAAAGGGCAGTGCCTAAGCTCCCTCAAATCACTCCATCTCAAATGTGTTCTCTACAGCCAAGATCTCAGCAGCTTCTTTTCATAGACCAAGAAGCTCTTAGTCATATCAACTTGAACATTATACACAAAGACCTGGCCTACAAGTGGAAAATGCCCACTACATTCAGTAAGTCACTTGCTCTTCTGTTTCAGAATATCAGACCATCATCTTTCATTCACCACCCACCCAGAAAATCTGCTGGATTTAGTTTCACTGAAAAGGACACTCCATTTGTGGGCCCCAAAGGCCGAGAAGCACTGGAATGGCATGTGAGAAAGAAGACTCTTCATCACATTTGGGGTCTTCCAGGTCTTATTTGGAGGTCTGTCCAGTATCTCCTTCCAGCTACTCCTTCTGCTCATCCCCAGAAGAAATCACACAGAGAGACGATCATTTTCCTGTCAGAGGTCTCCTTTCTCAGTAATACCATCAAACGAGAACTGGAAAGAAATGTGCAGAAAAGGGTAGTGTGTCAGCGATGGTTGCTACCTAAAAGAGTTCTGGAGTCTATGAAGTTGTTCTACTCAAGTTATAGTTACCTGAAACCCAGCGTCCCTTGGCAAGAACAAGACAGCAGACGCTCCAGAATTGAGATTGCTGCACCACCTCCACAGTTTCATGCCAGAATCCAGGTCAACGTTCACCTCAAACTGCAGCTCCACTTGGCTAAGAAACATTTGGAAATGTATTTGGAGGCTCCTCCTGTAATGGTGAGAACTTCCTGGAGATACATGGTTTTCTCTTTGAGGACTCCTCTCCCTAAGATCATTTCTGGTCACCAGCCATTGCTTCCGCGCAGAACCTTGTTGCCATTTGCATGCAGGAAAGCCATGGATAGGATTGAAATGACTGTACAACGTAATCATTTTGCTTCCTTGTGGGAGCTGTCCACCCATTACGTGAAGGCGCTTGAACAATTGATGCCCAAACCTTTGTCCCGGCCTCTAAGAAGTCAGAAAACAATTGCCTTTCAATTCACTAAAATTCAGTGGGTGCTCCCTCCAGGATTCAGCATGGAAACTTTAGAGCTGCACGTTAAAAGGAAGAGAATCCAACATGAATGGGGTTTTCCAGTCCTTATCCAAAAATCCCTCAGGAGCTTCCTCTATCCGCCACCTTCACGATCATCTGTAACAAAGACAAAAATCAGTGTCCATAACCTGGCTCAGGCGCTATTGTTCCTTCCGCAGGACATTTGCAAAAATCTTGAACTTCATGTGCAGAAGACAAAACTATATCATCGGTGGGGTTTGCCACAAAGGGTTCTTGGATCTCTGAAGAAGCTACAACCAGAAGTCAAAATTTGGGCCCCGAGGCCGAAAACGCTGGTGCACCAGACAAGAAGAACAGTATCCACTTACAAGACCATCCCTCTGTTCCAAACAAGGACTGTTCTATGCACCATGTGCTGCAAACAGAGGATGGTGGCGATTCCACCACATGTTCCTCACAAGCTTTCCTTCAAAGGATCCAATCCTCTGGAGAAGATTAGCCTTCACATATCTAAGAAATACGTGGAGATACAGTTGGAGGTTTTCCCAGACGTTGTTATGGGTTCTTGGAAACTTAATGTATTGGCAACAAGGCAACCACTCCCCAAATTAATCTCCCATAGCCCTAAGATTTTGCAGCCCCGGCGGAGTTTCCTACCCTTTATGCAAAAGCAGGAGGCAAAAAGATTGGAGATGGCAGTACAGCTTTGCTATTTTAATTCCCTCTGGGGTCTGGGCAAAAGATATGTGGAAGCCATTGATGCAATGATTCCTAGATCCTATGCCTCACCTTTCCAGAGAAAGAAGATTCCTGCTGGGATGTTCTCAGAGATACAGATACCGTTTCTCCAACAACAAGAACGAGAGTTTATTGAACTGCATATCAGGAAGAAGAGGTTGCATCATGACTGGGGCTTCCCGGCACTCATCCAGAGCTCTCTCAGGGTCTTCATGCAAGGCTTCCCCCCACGTTCCACCACCCACAGGACCACAATCAATATCCGTGCTTTGCCACAAAAGTTTTCATTTCTCCCTTGGCCAACTTACAACTACTTAGAGTTTCACCTACAGAAATTGAAACTACAGCGGCGTTGGGGCTTACCAAAGAAAATCCTTGAGTCGCTGAAATATTTCCGCCCGTCTGCTCCTTTGGGAAAAGCTCGGCTCCCCCCAAGTGCCAAGAAAACTAAATTAACAGAAGCAAGGTTCTGCCCTGGAGGAAATCAACGGGTTTGTTGCAAACTGCTTGATTCCACGCATTATGCTCCAAAGCAATTGGATCTCCTCAAGGAACACATCAGGAGAAAATATCTTCAGAGGCAGCTAGAGACACTCCCTAGGCTGGTGAGACAGTCCCACAAAGACTCTGGTACCATGCCACAAAAGCACCTTCCTAAATTGATTGAGGCTGGGCAGAAATCCCCCACCCATAGAGCTCAGTCTTTACTTTTTCTGCCGCCAAGTGATAGAAATAGGTTGGAACAGAACGTGAGACATAAACATTTGGTGTTCTTGTGGGGCATCAGCAAAAAATATATGGAATCCTTATCCGTCGTGGTCCCAGTTAGACCTTTCCCAGCATGGACTCGAAATGCAAGCGTTGCATTCCAAGAGCTAAAGACCCCTTTTGTTCAGAAAGAGGCAAGAGAAATGTTGGAGCATCACATCCAGAAGAAGAGACTTCATCATTTCTGGGGTTTGCCTTCCATCATCCAAAGCTCTCTACTGGCCTTTACGACCTACTTATCCATCGATCGCCACCCACCTCGTAGAATAAAGCAGGACGTTAGAAGTTCAGTGCAGGATCTGCCATTTGTCCCTGAGCGTGTTCAGCAGAACTTAGCATCTAGCATTAAAAAGATGGTCATTCACAGCCAATGGGGGCTACCCAAAAAATTGCAGAAATTTCTGCATGGCTTTCGTCCCACCCCTCCGGGAGAACTAAGGGAGTTCAGAAACTTTCTCGTCAGTGGACCTAAGCTCAAAAGAGCTCAACGTATCACTAGATTGCCAGAGTCAAGTTTTGTAGATGGTCAACACAAGAAGACCTCCTTTCTCACAAATGAAAGCATAGATCTTTTGGAGAGGCACATCCAACATAAGAAGTTCCAGCATGAATGGGGGCTGCCCTCTGTCCTTCAAAGGTCCCTTCGTGCTTTTGCTCCTTTGCCTCCAGAACCACAAAGGGCTTTGACCAGATTGGCCATGGCTGCCCCTTCACGTCTGCAAACTGAAGGGAGGCTCACGATGACTCCGAAGCTGTTGTTCCTGGATCCAGTCACAAAGGAATGCTTGGAAGCACATACAAAAAGACACATCGCTAGACACAAATGGGGCCTTCCCAAGCAAGTACAGGAATCAATAAAGACCATGTTGCCCCCTACATATTTTCGCCAGCCTGAAGATCTTATTGACCGAATCCCATCGGGTACCCGTGATCAAGTCTACCCAGCAAGAATTAAGGAGATTTCAGATACTAGAGACCAACATCTGCCTACAAATAAAAAAGCCCAAAAACGGAGGAGCCAGATAGAGGACTATGGTGGCAGGCAACTACCATGGACAGCAGGAGGACATCCCAAGTCTCCCTCTCCACGAGTAAGGAACCGAATTCCAACTCTGAGTGGAAAAGTTACTCCTAAGTTTCACCAAGAGAGCTGGGCTGAGACCTTCTATACAAAGGAAGTTTGGGATGCTCTAGAATTCCATATCAGACACAAGAGGATCCAACATGATTGGGGCCTGCCCTTGATGGTCAAGAAATCTCTCAATGCTTTTGCTCCCCATCCACCAGAGCTGCACAGCGCAACTACAAGATCAGGAGGGCGCCTCTCTGTTAAGAGCCGAGGGAAAGGAGCAACTCATCAGTCACTTGCTATGGTACAGGCAACAATCCCTCGCTCAGAGCTACATTTTTTGAGTGTGGAGGTCAATGATCACCTGGAAGCCCATTTGAAGAATTGGACTGTAAAGCACAAATGGGGGCTCACCAAACGCCTTCGGGGTTCACTGAGGACTATCGCTCCTCCTCGACCTGAATCCCAAGCTGGAATGCACAAGCCTCATGGGCAGCATAGCAGATCCGCCCAGCCACATAAAATCTCTTCCTACCATGACAGGGAGACATCACAACGGCAAGTCATCTCTAAGAAAGGAGCCTCAAAAATATCCAACACTCTTCGCCATCAAGGGCAAAGCTCAGCTCAGGGAAAGCCATTGTTCTTTACAGAGGAAAATTGGAATCTCTTGGAATTCCACATTCAGCAGAAGAAAATCCAGCACGATTGGGGTGTGCCTTCTATGGTGCTCCGATCCTTGAATGCTTTCTTCCCATTTCCGATCAAGATCCAAAGTCCAGGCAAGAAGAGGCTCAGGGCTAACCAGTGGGTTACCAAAGACATAAAAGTGCTTGTTCCCTCCACGTTCTTCCTTAGTAAGGAGACCAAAGAGGTTCTGGAAGCTCATATGAAGAAGAAGATTGCAGAGCATAAATGGACTGTTCCCAAACGACTTCAGCAGGCCCTGGGGACGTTGTCAACTCCCAAATCCCATTTCCGATCCAAGGACTTTTATCGACAAGCTCCACTCTGTCGCCGATGCCAATTGCTCCTTCAGACTACCGATGATTCCCAAACTGAGAAGGAAGAGGAAGAGGAAGATAGGAGAAGAAAGAGAAGGAAAAAGGAATATTTGCAACCAAGGAACCGGAGAAGGTCTACATTTTCTGGGAGAGCTAGCAAGCAACACTTATTGTTCTCAGAGCTAAGGCTTCCCTTCCTTTCAGATGAAGCCAGGAATTATCTGGAATTCCACATCCAGCAGAAGAAAATTCAGCGGGCTTGGAGCTTGCCCTCCATGGTGTTGAGGTCCTTGCATGCTTTCGCCCCATTTTCCCCTGAAATTCCCCAGAGCACTAGGAAGCGCATAGTCAAGACACAGGGATGGAGTAAGAAAGAAGTGGTGGTGATTGCCTCAGACCTTCCCTTCCTCAGCCAAAGGACCAAAGACATTTTGGAAGCTCACTTGAAGAGGAGGACTGCAGAGCACAGGTGGGGCATGCCAAAAACCATTCGGAAGTTCCTGGGATCGCTGGTGCCTTCCAGACCACCTTCCCAACATGAAAGCATTCACGAACAGCCGTCACTCTGCTGGAAGTGTAAATCCCTCCTTGAGTCTACAGATGTTTCCCAAACTGAAGAAGAAGATGAAGACTTGCGAGACGAGTCAAAGAAAGCCAGGAGAAGGACGAGAAGGGCAGAGCAATATTTCCAGCCGGGGAACCAGAGAAGATCTACATCTTCTGGGAGAGCCAGCAGGCAATTCTTGTTGTTCTCAGAGCAAGGGCTTTCTTTTCTTTCCGATGAGGCCAGGAATTATCTGGAATTCCACATCCAGCAGAAGAAAATTCAACGGGCGTGGAGTTTGCCCTCTACAGTGTTGAGGTCTTTGCATGCTTTTGCCCCATTTTCCCCTGGAATAGAAAGACGCATCCAGAGCACTAGGAAGCGCATAGTCAAGACACATGGATGGAATAGGACAGAAGTGGCGGTGATTGTCCCAGACCTTCCCTTCCTCAGCCAAAGGACCAAAGACATTTTGGAAGCTCACCTGAAGAGGAGGACTGCGGAGCACAGGTGGGGCATGCCAAAAACCATTAAGAAGCTCCTGGGGTTGTTTTTGCCTTCCAGACCTCCTTCCCAACATGAAAGCATTCATGAGCAACCACCACTCTGCTGGAAGTGCAAATCCCTCCTCACGTCTACAGATGTTTCCCAAACTGAAGAAGAAGAAGACTTTCTGGAAGAGTCAAAGAAAGTCAGGAGAAGGAAAAGGTGGAAGGGTAAAGATTTCCAGCCAAGAAAGCAGAGGGAATCTACTCGTGTGAGTCCTGATGGACGGCAACTCTTAGCACCTATGGAGGGAAGGCTTTCTTTTCTTTCTGATGGGGCCAGGAATTACCTGGAGTTTCACATCCAGCAGAAGAAAATTCAACGAGCATGGAACCTGCCTTCCTTGGTCCTCAAATCCTTGCGTGCCTTTGCCCCATTTCCTCTTGAAGACCAGAAGGACGTGCAAGACCCAAGAGATAGGAAGACCAAACACATCCTGTGGGAGAAAAGAGACGTGCCCATCGATGTCCAGAGTCCATTCTTTCTCAGCCCAGATGTTGAGGAACACCTGGATACCCACGTGAGACACATAACAACAAAGCACCAATGGGGTCTTCTTGAACGGGTACAACAGCCCCTGCAGGCATTTCTGCCTTTGAGATCCCATTCCCCATCTGAGTTGGAAGATGAGAAAGAAGGTTCGTCAGAGAGAGCCAAACGCAGGAAAGTCTACCGTAAGGCAAATGTGATGCCATCTGCAAAAGGACATATCGAAAAGTCTCCTATCTTTTATTCAGAAGTGAAGCTAACTTTCTTTGAGGACGCAGCCTGGAACCTCCTGGAATTCCATATCCAGCACAAGAAACTCCAACATGCATGGGGTCTGCCCTTCATGGTGTTGAGATCCCTAGATGCTTTTGCTCCCTATCTCCATGACTCCACGAAGCGTCCGTTAGCCGTACAAGGCACATTGACAACCCGTAAGCTTCCCGGGGGCAGAGAATTTCACATGATTGCCCAGAATCTGTCATTTCTTAGCTCAGATACAAAACAACTCTTAGAAGCTCATCTGAAGAATTTAGTTGCGGTACATAGATGGGGGCTTCCAAAACATGCTCAAACCACATTGAGAGCATTTCTGCATCCTGGCACACTCAGTTCAACAGCCTATAAATCTCCCCAGATCTCGTTGCCCCAAACGTGGGTTACAGACAGAAGTCCCATGAAGGAATTCCAGCTCAGAAAGAAAAAGGCAAAGTTAAAGGTACCCGTCACCTCATCCACGATCTATTTCAGGAGCAGAAAGATGGACTTTCTCGATGAGGGTGCTCAGAATCTTCTGGAATTCCACATTCTGCACAAGAAAATTCAACACACCTGGGGCTTGCCAGCCATTATTCAGAAATCCCTACGGTTGTTTGCTCCCTCTGAGTCTCAGAAGAAGCCACAATCTGCAGGAGACGTGACCATGAAAACAACAGCCCAAAAATCATGGATAGCGAAGGAAGTCAGAGTTGCCCCACAGCAGCTACGCTTTCTGCACCCAGACGTAAAGAAGCAGCTGGAAAGCCACATCAGAGAGGTCACGGTGAAGCACAGATGGAGGCTTCCAAAACTGGTGCAAGACACACTGGCAGCATTTATTCCTCAAGCTGAAGAAATGGGGGAGGAGATGAAGGAACCGTTCTCAACATACGATGAAGACCATCTACTGAGATCCAGTTCTAGCTTAGGGGTACCTGACATGTCTGACTCAGAGCTATTTTATGAACACCAACAAATTCCGGTGGAGATTCGAGTTTCTTGGCTGGATACTGAAGAGCCATCATTTTGCTTCGATAGGAAAATCCAGCACGACAGAAGCATTCAAGGGAAAATGGCCAGGAGAGAAGCACCTGAAGCGAGCAAACAACACAAGTTGCCGCTGGAGAGAACCGAATCAGATGTCTACCTGAAGGATGAACAAAGATGGGCAGCAGACCTTCTGGGTAGAACACGAGATCCTAGAGGCCCCTTTTTCTCGACTCCGGTTTCTGGTTCTCAGAAACGCAAATATAATGCCACCAGCTCATCGGAGAGTTTATCTCTGGGGAAATATCCAAGTCAAAGAACTGGTTGGTTAGCCAGAGAGAGGGAAGCTCTTCCTTGCTCTTCCAACTTGTCCCTCAAGAAGGACCTTCTGAAACAACTTCAAAGCACTTCCCAGAGAAAGGAAGGCGATAGATACTATCCCATTGGATTGAAGCGGTCTCAGTTATCCAAAGGCTCTAGTTTTAGTTGGGTACCCAACAGTCTTTGCAGGATATGCAATTGTCCTTGCCGATGCCATTTGCCTTCATCCAGGGAGGGCTCCATGTTCTCATTGCAATCCGTTAGGAAGCAGGAAGAGACGCCAGGTTTAATTTGGGGTATGGTAAAGGAGGCAGAAACAGATTCCTCATCTCTGCTAACAGAGGACAGGTCATCCCTTCCATCTATTTCAGCAAAGAAGGAAGAAGTTCAGTTCTCTTCTGTTACATCAGAAGAAGCTATCTCTGAATCCTCCTTGAGGGACGCTTCTCTTCGAGAACAAGAAGCCACCCCTTCCAGTACAGGAGATCAGGGAGTCCCATTTCAGGAGGAAAGAGTGTTTGCTAGCGATGCAGACCTGCAGAAGGTGACTACATCAGGAAGTGAATTGCCCGATACCTCAAGGTCCTCTGGACAATTTTCTTCATCCCCCAAAGGTATGTTCTTCCAAGAAGCAATGCAACCTTCACTCGCTGTTGAGCAGACATCAGTGCTGGGCTACAGAAAGGAAGGTGAACAAACTGTCACGGAACCAGGCATGGAGGAACCTGATGGTGGAAAACATTCAACCACTGAGATGGTAGACGAGAAGACCCTGAACTGGGGAACAGAATTATCTACAAAGGAACCTTTTATGGATCGCAGACCATTAATACAACACAAGAGGACCAAAACGCCTGGGTCCATTCAAAAGAGAAGAAAGCCCACGTCAGAAAGAGGCCAGTCCACGGAGCCCAAGAAACAAGTTCGCCATGCTCAATTCCTGGTCAGTGCGGAACCCGATGAGAAAATGTCCATCCTGGGTAGAATCTTGGAGAGAAAATTGCGCCTGCGGCATGGATTGAATATTTGGAAGTACAGCCGTGGAAGGTCCCAGGTGTTTTCCAGAATGAAACACAAGATAGATAGCTTTAGGCACAGTTTCAGGGTACGAAGCCGAACCAGAAGCAAGGATAGCTCTAGGAGAGATCAGTCCCGTAGTCCGGAAAGCACCACAAGAAGCAGAAGCTCAAGTGGCAAGGCAAGAAGCAGAGGAAGAAGCAGAGAGAGGAGATCAAAGACCGAGGTGAGAAAAAAGGAGTTGCCACAAAAGGAATTATGATGGCCGTACCTATATTCCTTGACAAAGGGAGCAGGGAGAAACGATGAAAAACCAGTAGTTCCTGGCTGAAGGATCCAGAAAGAAAGGGTGCAAATCCTGAGAAGAGTAGGGAGACCTTTGGAAGCGCAAATTTGTAATCCAGCTTCAAGAACTGGGGCCAAGCCATTGTGCCAAAGGTTGATAGACAACCCTATTAGTCCTATCGCATTCATATGTTAATTTCTAAAATAATGATTTATTTTTTTTGCAGCAATGTATTAATAAAAAGAAATATTTTTTCAACGTGGATAAAAATATATGTATATTAGTGGTTGATAAATCTGTGGAATTACAAATTGTAAGGGATCTCCAAGAACATCTAGTACAGTGATGGTTAACCTTTTCGGTGCTGAGTGCCCAAAGTGCATGCGTGTGTATTTGCCTGAACCCTCAAAATGCAATGTGAGTGCCCTCCATGCATGCGCGTGTGTCCCTGCGCATGTGCGTGTCCCCCACGCATGCCCCCGCCCCCACACGCATGCGCCCAGGCCCCCACACACCCCATTTTGGCTTCCAGGTTGGTGCAGGAGGATTTCCAGGCCCAAAATGCACACCCACCGTGCATGTGCCCCGCCCCGTGCATGCGCATGTGTCCCCCGCATGCCCCCTGCCCCCCCCACGCATGCACGGCAGAAAGCAGAAGACCAGCTGGCCAGTAGGAGGCACGCACACATCTGCATTGAAGCTGGGCTAGGGCGACAGCTAGCGTGCACGCATGCCATAGGTTCACCATCACGGATCTAGTACAACTCCCTGACCAGTGCAGGAATTGGCTATAACCTCAAAAAAAGGCCCATCCAAGCTTTGTTGAAATACTTTCCAGTAGAACAGAGGCCACCATCTCCCAGTGCAAGGTGTTGTATTATTAAGCAAATCTTACCAGTAGGAAAAGTATCCTGCTGGCCAACCGAAGTCTATCTTACCTTCTCATAGTCTTCTCTCATCCAGGCTAATCATACCCAGATTCCGCACAGGCCTTATTTTCTTCCATCTTAGACCTCTTCTTGGTTTTTCTCCTAAGCAGCAGGAATTTGGACTTACTGGACTCTCTGTGGTTGGTTGGTTGGTACATAAGTATGTATGTATGGACTTTTTCTTGCTGAGTCATAGGCAAGGGTGGGCTTCAAAAATTTTAGTAAGGGGTTCTCTGCCTGGTTGCTGGGTGTACGTGGCCATGGTGGGCATGGCCTAGTTGGCCTCCTGCACCACAGCGGGGGAGTATTTTTGCCCTCCCCGGGCTCCGGAGGCTTTCTTTGAGCCTCCAGGAGGGCGAAAATGGCCTCCCCAGGCTCCAGAGGCCCTCTGGAGGCTAGAAACTGGCATCTTTCTGGCATTCCTGAACCTCCGGTAGGCCTGTTTTTCACTCTTTCCAAGCCTCTGTGCGCACCCTGCACTTACCTGCATCCAAAATGGGCTGTGTGGGGACTCCTAGGAGGGGCGGGGTGGGCAGGGCCAGCCAGGAGTGGGATTTGGGGGGGGTTCTCCGAACTGCAAAGAATCTTAGCTAGAGGTTCTCCCAAACCCTTGCGAACCCCCAGCAGCCCACCTCTGGTCATAGGGCACAGAGTCAACTCGACCAAGCTGTTAGGTTTGTGTCATGCTAACAGACATTCGAGATGTTTTCTAATGAATATCCCAGTCTGTCAGATGAACATACAGGAGCTCAAACTGTGGAGGAATTGTGGAGGCCCAATAATCCCACTTCCAATGGTCCCAATCCCACATGGTCCTCCTCTTTAGATTTTCACATGTTGAAGGCAAAGGTCTGACGTAGCTTCTTGAAAGATAACTCTGTAAAACAGAATTCTGCCTTCTCTTCAAAGGACGGGGATTCCAAAATAGAACTGGAATCCAGACTCCAACGTAGTTAGAAAGAAAAAACAGAGTTGGAAGGGATCATGGAGATCTTCTAGTCCCACTCCCATCCCCGCATTTATTTTTTTATTTTATTTATTTATATTTGAATTTATATACCGCCCTTCTCCCCCTAGGGACTCAGGGTGGTGAACAGCCGAAATTAAAATATATACAATATAAAAGTTAAGATAGCTAAAATAAATTAAATCAATCGGCCCCCAATTTAAAACCCCAAAGCTATACAATTAAAAACTAACCCGTAAAAAACCTAATTAGGCTAGGCCGGCTTGCTGAAATAAAAATGTCTTCAGGGCCTTACGTAAAGTGCGGAGATCCGGGATCAGTCGTATTCCGGGAGGAAACTCATTCCAGAGGGCGGGTGCCCCCACAGAGAAGGCTCTCCCCCTGGGGGCCGCCAGCCGACTTTGCTTGACCGATGGCACCCTGAGGAGACCCTCTCTGCGGGAGTGTATTGGCCGGTGGGAGGTTATCGGTAGCAGAAGGCGGTCTCGTAAATACCCTGGCCCTAAGCCATGGAGCGCTTTAAAGGTGAGAACCTTTATAGGAAGCCCTATATCATTTCAGATAAAGGGTTATCCAATCCACATTTCTACGTGTAGGTTCTACATTTAGGCAAGAAAAACAAAATGCACAGGTACAGTATATGTGGTCCCTTCAGAAGTGGGTTTCAGCAGGTTCTGACCAGTTCTGGAGAACTGGTAGTGGAAATTTTGAGTAGTTTGGAGAACTGGTAGTAAAAATTCTGACTGGCTCCACCCTCGTCCCCATCTATTCTTTGCCTCCCAAGTCCCAACTGATTGGGAGGAAATGGGGATTTTGCAGTACCCTTCCCCTGAAGTGGGGTGGGAATGGATATTTTACTGTATCCTTCCCCTGCCACGTCCACCAAGCCACACCCACCAAACCATGCCACGCCCACCAAGCCACACCCACAGAACCAGTAGTAAAAAAAATTTGAAACCCATCACTGGTAACTTGCTCAATAGTAGTAACTGTGAGAGGGATCTTGGAGTCCTAGTGGACAACCATTTAAATAGGAGCCAGCCGTCTGCAGCAGCTGCCAAAAAAGCCAACACAGTTCTAGGCTGCATAAACAGAGGGATAGAATCAAGATCACATTTAAAGTGTTAATACCACTTTATAAGGCCTTGGTAAGGCCACACTTGGAATCCTGCATCCAGTTTTGGTCGCCACGATGTAAAAAAGATGTTGAGACTCTAGAAAGAGTGCAGAGAAGAGCAACAAAGATGATTAGGGGACTGGAGGTTAAAACATATGACAAACGGTTGTAGGAACTGGGTATGTCTAGTTTAGTGAAAAGAAGGACTAGGGGACACATGATAACAGAGTTCCAATATCTCAGGGGCTGCCCCAAAGAAGAGGGAGTCAAGCTATTCTCCAAAGCACCTGAAGGTAGGACAAGAAGCAATGGGTGGAAACTAATCAAGGAGAGAAGCAACTTAGAACTAAGGAGAAATTTCTTGACAGTGAGAACAATTAATCAGTGGAACAACTTGCCTCCAGAAGTTGTGAATGCTCCAACACTGGAAATTTTTAAGATGTTGGACAATCATTTGTCTGAAGTGGTGTAGGGTTTCCTGCCTAAGCAGGGGGTTGGGCTAGAAGACCTCCAAGGTCCCTTCCAACTCTGTTATTCTATTCTAATCTATTCAACCTCTTCTTAAAAACCTCCACTGTAGAAGCACTCACAACTTTCTGGAGCCAAGTTGTTCTGACTAGCAGGAAATTTCTCCTTAGTTCTAGCTTGATTAGTTTACATCCATTGCTTTTTCTCCTGCTTTCAGGAGTTTTGGAGAATCTGCTGGTTCAGGATAGGAATCTTCACACCGTCACATACAGGAATACCTAACTTTCATTGGAAAATCTCCAGTAATGGACCACCCATAACTCCAGGAGTCAAGCTGTTCAACAAGCTTAACAGTTCTTACAGTCAGGAAATTCCTCCTTATGTTTAGGTTTGGCTAATCTTTATGAAACTTCCACTCCTTGATTCTCATTTTACCCTTGTCTTACCAAATGCCCCAAAGCTACAAATTTATTATGGTAGAAAGCTGTCCTGCCCCAACATAAGATCCTTATATGCTGCTGTTGCTCTCTAGCCCCATCTAGTGGCCTGAGAGGACAAATATGCCCAACATCCAATCTTTATATATTGTTGTTGCACTCTAGCCCCACCTAGTGGCTGGAGAGACAAAATACCAAGTATATTGTTTAAAGCTGACTATTTTACCCATCAGCCTGCACTCTCAAACCAAGTGCAGCCAGATTCCATTTTCTTTAGCATTTGGAGAAGGCAGAAGCACAAAGAAACATCCGTCTTAATCTGTGGCACGTGGTCATCCAAGGACGAACCCACATCACGGGCCTGGTGGCTCAGCAGACTAAAAAAAGCATTGTGATTAACACCAGCTGTCTGCAATTACTGTAAGTTCGAATCTCACCAGGCTCAAGGTTGACTCAGCCTTCCATCCTTTCGAAGGTAGGTAAAATGAGGACCCAGTTTGTGGGGGCAATAAGCTGACCTCCCAGGGGAATGGGCCTTCTCTGTGGGGGCACCTACTATCTGGAATGAGCTCCCCCCTGGAGATACGTAGGATCCCGGACCTGCGCACTTTCCGCTGTGCTCTAAAGACCTTTCTATTTCAGCAAGCAGGCCTGGCCTGACCTTTCCCCCCTTTTAATTTTTTAATTTTTAAATTTAAATTTAAATTTTAAATTTGTTCTAAATTTTTGGGATGTTTTAAATTGTCTTGGGCTCAAATATTTAATTTGGTTTTAATTCTGCTCTTAACTTTTGTATCTATGTGTTTTATTTTGTGCCTGAGTCCTTCGGGAGTAGGGCGGTATACAAATTTGATCAAATAAACAAACAAACAAACAAACAAACAAACAAACAAACAAACAAATAAATAAATAAATAAATAAATAAATATACAAAAGTATGAAGGCTATTGCTTAACGCATTGTAAGCCACCCTGAGTCCCCGGAGAAGGGCGGCATATAAATCAAATTTAAAAAAAAACAAAAAAAACATCTCACACACAGAGCATCACCGGTGAGATTTAAATTGCTTGTATTTATTAATTGTTATGTTCCGCAGTAACTTAATGCTGTCTCTTTTGTATTTGGTTCTCACTGTATGTATCCCTATTTTCCCCAGTTTCACCATATCCTGTTCTTTCAATAAAGCATTCAGATCTACGCACACGGTCTGTTTTATCGGAGGATAGGTGGGTTTAGCTGCATGTCGAACTGCACACAGACTAACGTGTACTGGGGACCGAACAAAAGCATGTAAGAAGCAATGGGTGGAAACTAATCAAGGAGAGACTCAATCTAAAACTAAGGAGAAATTTCCCGAC